CGTAATCTGGATTATGGCCGCGTCTTCCAGCGCCAAACTGGAATGTGTTTTCCAATGGCAATAGTACCTAACGCTGCGCTTATCCTCTTTCAAACAATGAGCAACAACAAACGGTGACTATCTAATCACTACCAGCTGTGTGACCAGGGTGTGTCTGTGTCTAAGTCATCACTTGCATGAGTGTGCAACGCTTGTTTTCTACAGTCAGGTCTACTGCCAGTGATCAGCGCCTCGCTACAACTCTTGGTGTGCATTAACTTCTCCACATTAAAGAAAGCATGTTCAATACACCACTTGCTACACCTCTGATGGGATAACGTGGTATTACCTCTCATCTCTGACAGCCATCTGTGCGTTAGGGATTAGCTTGCCTTGTGACGTTAACATATTGTTAAATTTAACAGAGCCTGAGCCAGCTTAAAGGGATAGTGCACCCAAAAATGAAAATTCAGCCATTATCTACTCACCCATATGCCGAGGGAGGCTCAGGTGAAGTTTTAGAGTCCTCACAACACTTGCAGAGATCCAAGGGGAGAGGAGGTGGCGCCCCAGATTCAAACGTCCAAAAACACATGATTGAAACCACAAAATATCTCCATACTGCTCGTCCGTAGTGATCCAAGTGTCCTGAAGCCCCGACATAAAAAGTTGTTTGGAAAAATGTCATTTGAAGAGAGGCAGTCAGAGCTACAGGCTACAATGAGGCTAAAAACAGAGTTCAAATGACGTTTTTCCAAACAACTTTTTATGTCGGGGCTGCAGCACACTTGGATCACTATGGATGAGCAGTATGGAGATATTTTGTGGTTTCAATTATGTGTTTTTGGACGTTTGAATCTGGGGCGCCGTCAGCCTCCATTAGGTGGAGTTGTGTTGCTACCTCCTCTCCCCTTGGATCTCCGCAAGTGATGTGAGGACTCTAACACTTCACTTGAGCCTCCCTCGGCATATGGGTGAGTAGATAATGGCTGAATTGTCATTTTTGGGTGCACTATCCCTTTAAGGTAAAGATGGTTTATGATTTCTAATGAGTCATAATCAGATATTGATACATTCATCGAACATTTAACATATTCCTGTATTAATATTAGCTGCATATAAAGTGAATTAACGTGATGTTTACAAGCTAATGCTCGGCTCATCTGCATTATTAATGCAATTTACACATTTTTGTAACTGTTGATTTATGAAATCAGACTTCTACTGAGTGAAACATTTAGTAAAATTTAGAACTTCAGACATTCATGATACACCGATCAGCAAAAACATTATGCCACACAACAAAAACTGTTTAGAAATGGCCTGTGGAGCGTGACAGAAAGCTCAAGGTGTCGACCTGGCGTATAAATTTCCCAGGTCCCAATCTGCTTGAGGATTCTTGGGATGTGCCGGTACCCCAGATGTACCCCTAATCCAAGGTGGGGCCTCCTTGGATCGGACTTGACCCTTGACACAGGATCTGTGGGAGTGTCCTGCGGTGTCTGGCACATCCATGTAGTCCAGTGGGCTGTGAGGTGGGTTAATGGCACGTGCCACAGATGCTCAATCAGATTGGGATCTGGGGAATGTGGAGGCCAGGTTGACACTTTGAGGTCTTTGTCACATTCCTTGGGCCATTCCTGAGCCATGTTTGCAGTGTGGCGTTGTACATGGTGCAAGGAAACCCTACCAATGTCAACAGTAACATGATCACATAACAAACCCTGAAACAAATCCATATGTTACATGCATCTTACACCTGTCTGTGGACTGTTTCCAAAGCTACTCTTCTGTGTCTCTGGTTGATGTCATTCTTGTGCCTCACCCACTGGGATCAAACTGATCTGATGCAAGTTAAGCAAGAACCAGAGTCACTACTGTCATGTGTCAGATCACAACCACAGTAGGGCAGTGTTGTTTGACCTACTGACTCCATCTAGTGGTCTCGGTATAGCACCACCAAACCCCATTCAAACATTAAATGATCAGTGTTTCCTTGCTCCATTTCTTTCACAGGACAGTACTGAACATATTGTACATGATCAGGAAAAAATCTATACACAAAAATGCACGCATCGGCCACTATATGAGCACAGACACACACTACGTCCTTACCTTCAGGCTAACTTCATTGAACAAATCCTCCGGTACTTTGCAGGCTATCAGGGCGTTGGGTAAATCGGTAAACTGGACATCCACCGTCGCCTCCTCCTCCCTGCCATTCTCCGCCTGCTGCATCACGACTTTATGATGATTTGGGCTGTTATCTGGAAGCACAGGAAACCATTTTACACTTTAATTAAAACACTTGGCTAACGCCCACCACCCCTGCCTTACTGTGTAGTTAGCTTAATGGCTATTACAGTGATTCATTTAATGTCGTACGTACCAATAAAGGCGTTATATCATGATAATGTGGTGTGAAGCAGCTCTCTCTCTGCGGTGTTTTCCTCCGAACAGCCCAAAGAATTAAGCGAGTGTATTAGCTTGAAAGCTGCACTAAGCGGACTAGCTAATTATGCTAAGCAGGAATCCGCAATGACGCCGCTAAACACGCGATGTTTTTTAAATATCTCCTCTCGGGTTAGTGTGAGTAATGGCGGTCGTCTTGTAGTTAGAAATGTCATAAATTAAAACAGCGCAATATTCTCTAATATTGACTGTGGATAGACTTCTCGGATAATTCAGTTAGCATAGCGCAGAGGAGACAGGATGTGACGTCAATTGTAGAGCAGCCGAGATGCATTTCCGGTTTTAATATTTGTGCTTTTTCCGTTGATGTTTTTTAATATAAAACATTAGAAATATCTGTCGAGATATTACAGAATATAAACTTTCACAAAAATGCTTTTGTTTAGTATATAAAAATATAATATTTCGAACAATCTGCTGTATTTGACTTCGAGTGCTGCTCTGCTCCCCTCTCGTGGCAGCCTCTTGTAGATAGATAGATAGAAAGATAGATAGATCAAATTAGTATGTGGACATTAGAATATAGAAATATAAAATATATACAAAAATGAGTAGTACTAAATTTAAAATATACAAGAAATATACAAGAATAAACTAAAAATATCAAATTGCAGGAGTGAAAAAGATGAAATCATATACACAACACAGTGAGAGGTGACGTAGAGGTTGTTTAAAAAATGTGCAAAATAGCTCCAAGTGTGCAATAGAGTGTGCCAGGGCTGACGTCAAAATCCGGAAGTTTAGCATTGCGCTGGTTCCCGGGAAGAGAAAGTGAATGTGATTTTTGCATTGCATTTTGGATTATGTCAGAAAATAAGCTCTGTGGCTAACACAAGTTTATGATACTTACAGGTTTTGTTCAGCGAGATAATCTTCACATATGAACACCTTTCATACCGCATTTGAAGCTTAAATGCGATCGCCAGAAGTAAAAAGCTAACGTTAGGCTTTAATGGACCACGGTCGCATGACTCTTGACGTCACCGCCACTAAGCTTTCAACTGATTTAGGCCGCTTTATTTTAAAAACATTGTATAATGGGAAAATCGGACTGTTTAAGCTAAATAAGAAGCTGTAATGGCGGACTGCCAGCACTCTCGCCTGTTCGGGGATGATGACGTTTAATGTCCCCGACAGGGTTTGTAGTCGTATTGAGCATCTTGTTAGCATAGCAACCGCCTTTTTTACGACACGTAAAAGCTTCAAAATTCACAAGTAGGGTATTTACTGACGTGTTTTATGTCGTAGAACAAAACCTGAAACTCGCTTAAACTTTTGTTAACCACAGACCCTATTTAAGGCATGTTACCAAAATCCCATTCAAAAATGTAGGCCTGTTGACTTTTAGACGAGAGAACCGGAAGTGCTAAAAGCGCTAACGGAGTTCCGGGTTTACTGGCACACTCTATTGGTTATTACCAGCAGTGCAAACAAATGGCTGTAATGTAACTATTAAGCTAGAGGATAGAGGGCTGAGACTGCTCTGGGTGGTCAGGATTATCCATGATGGATAACAGTTTGCACAGTGTCCTCCTCTCCACCACTGCTTCAAATGCGTCCGGCACTACTTTGCCGTTGAACCTGGTTAGACTTTCTGGATTCTTCACATGCAGGGATGTCAATGGAAGTTCCAGAGGTTGCAAAACTGTCTCCCTTAAATCTTGGTTTGGATTGTGATTTTGTCTTGCTTACATTTTTGTTTACTGTCACGAGTTGTGTTTTTGAATGTCCCCAGAGATTGGGTCAGACACTATTTGATGCACTATGAATGTGACAATATTGTGACTGAATTCATCCACTATCTCACATGCATATGCTCTCCTTCTTTCTCTTTAGCTTGTATGGAAGCTTCAGAATCACTACTCTCATATTCGCTGGCATATCCAGTTCTCTCATGTATTGCACATCCTCCATTGCATTACAACATTCATGCAAAAAGAGTGCATGCGCTTGAAGAGATTTGACGTCCTCAGGTTTCACGACTGGCCAGCTGAGGACTTTCTACATGTACGCTGCAGTGATTTTGTCTTAATTCCCAAAGTGTTCTTCTAACAGATGCTCAGCCGTAGAGTAGCCTCTGTGGGGAGCCATATGCTGACAGCTACGCACTAGCTCCTTTGGTTTGCCTCATGTGTATTTATCCAACAAATACAAACAATCACCTTTATTGCTTGCATTGCGCTCCACACAATGCTCAAAAGCTCTGATAAATGTTCCGTACTACTGAGGACCCCTGTCAAAAGGGATGAAAAGGGTGAATGTGTCCTTTAATATTGCTGCGTTGTCATAAGGTTGAGAGTGGTGCATCCATTTACATGTTGTCACTATTAGTTAAACATGAATGAAAACAAATACAAAGAATGGTATTGTGGTTCCAACAGGTAGTGTGTGTGTGTGTGTTCAACTCAAGTGGTGCTGGTCCCAGGGTGGCAGAGGGGTTTAAGCTCCTGGTCATGTGGGGATCAGCCTCCCTTTAATCCTCTGGAGAGAGAGAGAGAGAGAGAGAGAGAGATCGTATTTATTGATGTCTAACTGTGCTGAGGGTGAAGTACTACTTCGAATACAGTAGCCACAAGCAAAGAGTAAGAAGAGTGTGTACCTGCAAACCCTAAACCTGTACACCTTAATAATATACGTTGTCTTATGTTCCGTGGAGGTAAATCTCAGAATCTGGATTTTCTTTCTTTTGCCTGGAAATTTGGAACTTTCTGGGAATCTTACAGGACTTTAACGATCTTCAGGGCTTTGGAAACACTCTGAGATCCATCTCGGAAGCACTTTGAAAACCTGGACTCATCTGGAAATCGTTCTTCACAGCAGAACTTGGAAGCTATTACAGGATTTGAGTCCTTTTGTGACCTTAGTGACACTTTTTACATACTCCTAGTCCCTTGCCTTGGAACATCAGAGACACCTGATTGTTTCTGAATACTTTCTGGAATACTAGGTTCATTGTACAGTCTTTGGAAGCCTGGCGTTATCAGAAGCACACTGAGATTTACTTTATGACCTAACCTGTAAACTGGAACCATTCTGCAATCTAAGTCTTTGTACCTCTAAAATCTATCTTTGGCTATTTCTGGAATTTTGGACACAAACCACAAACTTGACATCTTTTAGAACTGCACGCTGATTCCTGAGTAAGTCCCCCATCATTCCCTCAAACTTTCCCAATGGCTCAGTCAGGCTCTTGCCCAAACTCAGACCTGCCAAATGGCGCCGTTGTCCATGGCCCGCTAGGTATTTGTTCAGACCCAGATACCCAGAGAGGAAGAGAGGACGAGGAAGGAGAAGAGGGAGATGAGGAGGTGGAACTAGCTGAGGAAGTAGGGGAGGATGTTTTGATGATGGCTGAAGCAGAAGAGCGGGAAGTCGAAGGAGAGAGCAGAGAGCAGAGTGAAAGGGAGGAAGTGGGGATTATCCAAGTGGCCCTGTTACAAAATGGAGTAATACGAGAGGGGGAGGAAGGAGGTGAAAGACTGGAGGAAAACTCTGAGGAAGGAGTAGAACTGGTGGATGAAGAGTATGACATGATAGAACAGACAAGAGAGACAGACGGTGAGGGCAAGGGAGAGCAAGAGTCAAAAGACACAACGGCAGCATTGATAGAGGATAAGAAAGGTCAAGAGCAGATATTAGACAGTAATGAAGAAAATGAAGACAGCAGGGAAGGTGAAGAAATGAAACAAGAGGCAGTGACAGCAAGTTCAGCAACAGAGCTCACAGAGGATGAGACCAGTGACAAAGACAATGGGTTGGTAAAGGTGGTGTCCAGTTGTGATGATGGAGAGCATGTTCAGGATTCTCTGGTAGAAGAGGCAGGAGAGGATACACAAGTGTCTACAGAAGACACAGACAAAGCAGAGGTTGTTACTCTACCCATTAATGCTGAGGTAACAGATCCAACAATAGATGTGACCCCTGTTGCCATTTGGACGAAAGAACAAGCCAACAATCAAGATGATCTATACCAAACCTCAGCTGTTGGCAACAGTACCATAACCTTTGATGCAACTGACACAATCAAAGTGGTGGCCAATCAAACCGATCAATTAACCAGCGAGAAGGGAGAGGAAACGAAAAACACTGATGAGAAGGACAACTCACAACCCAGCAAACAGGAAGTTGAGTCTGTTAATAATAACATCACATGGCAACAGAAGGATGTCATAGAGGCAAAGGCTGAGGCTGAGGGAAGCACAGAGTTTGTGGAAGACGCAATGTCCACCTTTGATAATATTCAAGACATAGAGGGTGAAGCAAAACAGAATGGTGAGACACCAGACTTTGCCTTTGAAGCCTCTGAGGAACAGTCACAAACAGAAGTAGGGATTGAGGAAACGCGGGTGGTAGGGATCAACCAGGAGGAGCAAGAGGAAAAATCAGTCCGACAGGTTGAGGTTAATACTCTATCATTGATGGGTGGGGGAGGACAGAGTGCGGAGGAGGATGGGAAGACAGGCGATAACGTTATTAGAGAGTCAGTAGGTGAGGAAGAGCACAGACAGTCAGGAGATCTAGAAATGCGAGAGAATATTGTTCAAGTTACAAACCAGGCTAAGGTAGATCTCCAAGAACCTGTACAGCAGTGTGTGGAGGAGGTACTTTTAGACACACAAAAAGATTTGGACCAGGTGGAGGAGGCCTTTGAACTGGAGGAAGGGGCTGAAGTTGAACCTAATCAGTCAGTAGGTGAGGGGACATCAGAGGAGAATGAGTCCACAACAGAGGAGGGTAATGACTTGCAAGAACATCTTTCACAGATGCTCAAAGAAGTAGGAACAGATTGGGGAGAAAAACTGAGACAGCAGGTCCTTGTAGAAGATCAGAAGGGAGGAGGAGCAGAAGAAGAAGAAGAAGAAGAAGAAGAAGCAATGGAGGGTGAGGTAGAGATGGCAGAAGAGCCTGTGACTGTTTTAGATGATGAGATTGAAGAGGTAGAGGAGAGCCAGAGGAGAGAACTTGAAGAACAAAAGCCTGCCGCCATTACAGCCCCCTGTGAAACCAACATAGCTGAGACAAAGGATGGAGAGCATCAAGAATTGCAAGAACAGAAGCTTGAACTTGGTAAGGAGAATGAGGAACAGAAAAATGAAAAAGGAGAGGTAGAGAGGGACGAGAAGCCAAAAGATGACAACAGAGAGGTAGAGTTGGATATCAATGGAAGAGTTAAAGGACTGAAGCAAGCAATGGAGAATGGAATTTTGAGTCCTGAACCACAGCCACTCAGGAAAGAAGAATGGGGGATGACAAGAGTGCTGTCATCCAGGAGAAAAGATAATGACTGGATTAAAAAAGTTCAATGCGAGGAAGAGGGAGAACCACAAATAAAAGACTGGAGGAAAGAACTGAAGCCTGTGAAAAAAGACATCTGGGAACCCGAGAGGGGACGAAAAGAATGGCCGAAGAGGGAAACATCACCAGAGGAGAAAAGTCCTCCAAAGAAGGAGGACTGGATAAAAGAGCTGAAGTCAGTGATTAAAAATGAATCCTTGCCCAAAAAGAGGGATGAGCAGGTGAAGAAAAAGCGGGTGGTGCTGTTGGAGGATGGCCATTCATACATCCCCCAGCGGGAAGAGATGATTGAGGAGAGAAAAGAGGAGGTGAAACTGATCTCCCATAGGAGGGTGGGGAGCCCTTTGCCTCCTGGGCACAGGAACAGAGCAACACCCCAAGACCAGGACTACGAGATCTCACTTTATGTCAAGGTAATGAACCACATGAACCACTGTACACATACTCTATGTCAACCCTGAGTGAGGAACTCTTCTTATACTCTGAGAAAAACAAGGGTTCCTTCATGGTTCCTCATTTAAGGTAACAGACCATGATGGTTTCAAAGCATCTAGTACCATAAATGACCTTATGGAGCTCTGTGTATATTGACTGAGAACACAAGCCATACATCAAAATGTTCCACTTGCCAGCACATGAACAGATCTGGACCAGTTTAGGAGCATCATTCATTAGGAGACTGACTGACTCTGGCAAAGACGAATGCTGGATTAAAGCTGCTGTTGAGCCAAGCCATTTTGGCTATGGGGCCTAAGCCTAAGGAGGCAGTCCTGTGGCACGCCTGTTGGGAAAGAGGAGCAACGACGCATAAGGCTAGCAAAGTCAGAACAAAGCGACACAAAAGACATTTAACAATTTAAACTCAATATTATGCATCTTTTTTACATCTTCTTGCAGTAAGTTTTTGTTAGCTGGCCGCATGCGCTACTTTTTTCTGACAACATCCACGTAAAATTCAAGTATCCAGTTCCAAGCATGTTGTTTGCTGCTTCGTTGTTGCTAGTTTTCAGAGTGACGGATTAAGAAATTCACAATACAACTGAACTTGTCGCCAGGAGCTAATTTTAACAGCAGCAATTTAAAGGACACCATCAGACACAAATGAAAAATTAAAGGCGTGCCACATATACTATTGCATAAATAATGATTTAATCTAATTGTGTATACTTTATAAATCCCCGAAATACACACACATGTACATACAAGACCCATAAATCCAGGCATCCTGAGCAGTTAAGGGTTTGATGCCTTGCAGGAGGTGAACTGGCACCTCTCTAGCTACCAGTCCATGCTCCATATTTGGTCCAGATGGAGACTAGAACCTGCAACCCTCTGGTTCCCAACCCAAGTCCCTATATTGCTGCCCTAAATGTTCACTTATATTAAGAAAACTGGCATGAACTTGTCTGGAAATAGATTTTTCCTGTTTGAGAGGTGCTGTTGAGCTGCTGTAAATGAAGCCAAAAGACTTCAAGGAAACTTGACGGTTACTGTGTGAAGTAGTCGCCTGGCATAGATGCTGCGCTCATCGGCACATTGTGTGTGTGTGTGACAGAGAGAGAGAGAGCAAATGACAGAGAAACCCCATCTTGATCTGCTTACCTTATCCCATTAAGACACTGATATCCTAATCCATCAGGAATGGTAGCCAACATTGCTCCACGCATGCAATTCTAAAGATTGTCAACAAAATAGCAGGAGCACCCTGTACTCTACCATCATTGTAGAATTTAAGAAATATACTTGTTAGAAATGTGGGCTGAAGGTCATAGTGATTATGGTGACTAGTTTTTTGCTTTTTTTTGTGTGTGTGTGTGTTTGATTAAACTTTAATTAACACCGGTGTGTGTGTCATCTTAACCTGCACACAGAGGTCAATATGGCTCTCCGGTTCAGCACATTCCTAGCTGAGATAAGAATAAAGGAGGGCAGCCTTCTGACAGCCAGCAGAGAGGTTTAACGCCAAGAAAAAATGCACTAATACGCACTCCAAGCTTGTTCTCCATGGGAGCTCACGGTCAAACAACAGCGTTCTTTGTCAGAGCCTCCATTGGCAGCACACACTGAGGTAGATGGAAAGATCATGGAAAGGTTCAAGCATCCTTGGGCTCAAAAGCAGTCAAGGTGCACAATCTAGAGTGGCTTTATTCACCCCCCACTGAGACAGAGGGCCAACCAGCCAGAAAAACACCAGAGCAGGTATTGTAAATCTGGAGTGAAAATACAGCATATTTATTTATCTGCCTCCGTCTTTTCTGTCTTTCCTGACACCCGGGAGCTAGTTTAAGGGCAGCGATGACTGAATAGCAGTGCATACAGTGTTAATCTCTACATTCTCACTTCGTAAGCTGATTAGCCTGCTGTTTGGTGCCGAGAGCTGGAGGCACAGTGCTGCTGCAAACAACACATACTCACCTCAAACTAGAAACCACATGTACATTATATTGACAGCTGAGAAACACCACCAAGAAGGACCAAGGTTTAACTGACAAAGGTTTACTGGGTTTCTGATACATGTGTCCATTGCTGATCCATTGACCCGAGCTGTCCCGTCTACTTGTACACTCACGCTCAGCCTCACCCCCTACTGGGCCCCTCTCCCTGAGAACTTGAAGGACGTAAACAGCCTTTATGGGACTTTTGCACGGGGCTACTTTCTGCGATTTAGCTCGTTAGACATATTGGATTAAATGTATGAATTTGATCTTGTTATATATAAAATTAAAGGTGACCAGCGTTCTTAATTTGCTTTATTTCTTTCACTCTTTTTGTGAAGCTTTTTCTTGTCTTAGGAAACCATTTCAAATGGTGGACTCGAAGGCCAATGCTGATATTCAATCAGTAAAGTTAAAGAGAATGCAGATAAATTTGATATTTGAGAAAGACTCTGACCCTTCTGTCAGACGGAGGGATGGACTCCTAGAGCCAAACATGAGCCCTTTTTAAACAGGAGTTGTGCAAATTTGCAGGAAAGCCCAATCAGTCTTTTTTCAGCATTGACAGTATAAAAACAAAATCGGGGAGTGCAGCAAAATGCCGCCTGCCTACTTTTGTTTATACAGAATGCGCCTTTTTCGGGGCAATGGGGGGCGTGAGCAAGTAACAAAACATGTAGCTCAGCGTGTGACGTAAACAGTGACGTGGGAGGGAAGCCGCAGCTGGTCAGTCCTTCGGCAATTTTCTCATAAGTCGGCCCGTTCTTCACCGTCCCCGTCATCTGACGGTTAATGGCCTCTTCGTTTGCGAGGACAAGGAGGGCGCGCAATTCCTTGTCTCCCCAGTTGCTCATCTTTACAGTGTCTGTCAGTTTCCCTCTTGCTACTAGCTGCTCGCTAATTCCTGCTATCAGCTGTTTCCTGTTTATCCACCGCCAGTGGGTCGCACGTGCGGCGTCATCAACAGCTCCTCCCACAAGTCTTCAACAGCCCCTGTTTAAACTAAAAAGGTTCCACCAATATGTTTACCCTACGAGGTGGAAAATTGGGCACCTTGGATCAACTTGCCAATCCGGCTCTGTGTGTCTAAACGCTCGCAGCTTGCCGGCAAAACGGCCCAACATTCGCCGAAAATCTGGCAGTGTAAAAGGGGCAATGTAATAAGGAAACAATGACTTAACACTTTTTCGGGTTCCTCGGCCGTGGAAAACCCCACAAACTAGTTTTCCAGGCGTGGGAAAGTCATGGAATTCGTAAAATCCTTAGAATTTTGGAAAAGTCATGGGATTTTGTTGTTTGTGATAAAATTGTCAGAGGAGTCTCACTTGTATAACCTCCAGCAAGATGGTTCCTGGTTTGAACCCAGGGTGGGGGAGCACTTCTGTGCAGAGTTTGCATGTTCTCCCTGTGTTAGCGTGGGTTTCCTCCAGGTGCTCCAGCTTCCTCCCACAGTCCAAAGACATGCAGGTTAATTGGTGACTCTAAATTGGCTGTAGAATGTGAGTGTGAATGGTTGTCTGTCTCCATGTGTAAGCCCTGTGATAGTCTGGTGACCTGTCCAGGGTGTACCACATAGCAGCATAGCAATCACATAGCAGATGTAAAAGCGAGAAAACAAAAGAGGCATCTCAGCTGCTGTGGGTGTGAAAAAGATCTTTCCATTCCTACTGCAACACACACACTCACACTGGACACATTGTGTTTGTGATGGAGCAGAGATTCCACTGCCACCCACACCCAACACTGTTTTCCACCCTCCAACTTCACACAACCACTAACCCCATGTCAGATTATTACGTTAGTTACGGTTACGGCCTGGCACATAGTCATGCATGGTTGGAAGTGCTAGAAGCTGCTGGGTGACGTTAGGTTTTTACAGAGCTAGTTGATGAACCACTAAGGTGCCAGCTGGTTTGTTGTCAGTGCCTAGTTTTTTATTCTCATATTTTGCGTGAACAGATTCTTTATGCTGGCACCGACTGGTTAACACACATTTTCCCATGAGACAGTCTTTGATATTTATTCTGACAAAGAGCGATTGTATGTGCAAGCGACTCCGACATTCCAGAGAAAGCAGACTGATGACAGACGTGGTGCTGCTTCGTGGCGATCATGGTGTTGCTGGGAGATAACAGGAATGCTCTGGATGAACTAAACATGGATTATTGAAAGCCTCACGTTTGGGTCTGGTTTTTGTTACTGGGGTACAATGAGTGTCAGTGTGAGCTTTAACTCAGTGCTGAACTGAATTGACCACCATGTCCTGGTGTGACATTGCAGTTAAGAAGTTAGGCTTCCCGACCATTGAGCTGTTTGTAAAGGTAAGTGATACTGAAAATCCTTTTCTAATAGCGACAAAGTCATTGTCAGTGCCTTTCAATACACTAGTCATACAGTATCCATGCGTGGTAGCTATAGACGAGGGATGGTCATGGTTAGGAAAGCTTGCGGTCATAATAAAGCTGCCTTTATTGTTACATTAGTCACTCGTCTACCACAAGACGAGATGTGACACCAGTGCTACAGGCAAGCTCTTTCGTGAATAACATTAATTCAAGGTGCAATTACGCTTTGAGAGAGTATGTTGAGAGACAGGAAGCAAAGATGGTCTCTGGTATCCTGCTCCATGATTTCGATCTCTTCCAGTGGACGCTGTGAGAGGTTTTGGTCTGGTGTTCACAGTCAGCTGGCTCTGACGGACTCAATCTAATGCCAGTGTCAATCTGGGCAATGCTTAGGAGCTTAGTCCAGTGAAGTTCTGTTCCCATTGGTTTGGTGCTTTTTACCAGTTGAGACCTGGTTCTGTTTGAGGTGTCTGCCTATTAAAGGGAAGTTTGTCCTTGCCACAGTTGCCAGGTGCTTGCCAATGGGGGAATTGCTGGTTCTCGGTACATTGAATTAAAGTTTATGGTGCTAGACCTGCTCTATATTCTCTCTATATATAGAAATAAAACTGACTTAGTTCACAAGTACTTCCTTGCTGGTGAAGTTGTCGGATCACTATGCTGCCTCCTGCCTATCAGCTAGACCTGGTCATGTTAGGCAGTGACACTCACTCCAAGGCATTCTCTCATTTCTGCACTGCTGTGTGTGTGTGTGTGTGTGTGTGTGTGTGTGTGTGTGTGTGTAGGCAGGGAGTGATGGCGAGAGCATTGGTAACTGTCCATTCTCTCAGAGGCTCTTTATGATCCTGTGGCTTAAAGGAGTCATCTTCAACGTCACCACTGTTGACCTCAAAAGGTAATGTAGCACTCACGCCTACTCTGAACATGTCAACACTGGTCATACCATCTTCATCCTTATTCCAGTGTGTCTGAGTATCTGTCTCCTTTCTTGTGTTATCAGGAAGCCAGCGGACCTGCAGGACCTCGCTCCAGGAACCAACCCTCCTTTTGTGACCTTTAACGGCGAGGTCAAGGTTGATGTCAACAAGATCGAGGAGTTCCTGGAGGAGAAACTGATCCCACCACGGTACAGAAAAAACACATTTATGTAAGAAATAGCTTGGTATTCAGTCGACTTCTTTAATGTGTCTTTAACTTCAGCTACCCCAGACTGGCTCCCAGACACCGTGAAGCCAACACGGCGGGCATTGAAGTGTTCGCCAAGTTCTCAGCTTACATCAAGAACCCAAGGAAAGACACCAATGATGGTAAGAAAGAGAGAGCGCATCTATGTGAGGGCTGGCTAGCTGAGGTTTTAAGGTCATGATGTAACGTTCATATTTCTCACAATGGACTCAAGGAGCTGTATCTCTATCTGCAGCCTTAGAGAAAGCCTTGCTGAAGTCTCTCCGGCGTCTCGATGACTTCCTGAGGACTCCCCTGCCTGAGGAGATCGATGCAGACGCCTCAGGAGACCTGCCTGAGTCCTCCAGGAGCTTTCTAGATGGATCCGAGCTCACCCTGGCTGACTGCAACCTGCTGCCTAAACTACACATTCTTAAGGTCCACATTCATTGGAAGTGTTGAGAATATTTGGCCTGCTGGACCCTTAGATACAACCAATGCTCACATTTTTCTGTTCGCAGGTCGTCGCCAAGAAATACAGAGGCTTTGAGATCCCGGCGGAGATGACGGGGGTGTGGAGGTATTTAAACAGCGCCTATCAGAAGGAGGAGTTCACCAGCACCTGCCCCGCTGAGAGGGAGATCCACTTTGCCTATCTGGATGTCGCGAAGCAAATAAAATAAAATGAAGAGGAAAGACATCAAACAGAGAGGAGCGAAGTGACTTTAGTAAACTGTGGAGAGATGTATCAGGCGTATCTGTAGGAGGTACAAGTAGTTGTGGGACATAGTTAAAAAAGGAAACATGACAAATGAAGAATAAGAGCTTCAGGTTATAGACTAGGCCCATCCAAACTGATAGGCTACTAAAACTCCAGTGTGTGTGTCTACAATGTGTGCATGTGTGTGTGTGTGTGTGCTCTCACGGGTTGGGTTGCACAGTCTACTGTATCTTTATGCTAATCATTTTACAAATAATCACAGTAATTGTTGTAATCTTGTAGAACTTGTGTAGGTTTTCACCTTTCAGACAATGGCAGGGCCAAGTTCACTGCAAAGATGAAATCAGCAGCACAGTGAACAAGCCTCACGCTTCAGTATCACTGCATTAGGAACCGTTCAGTCGGTGTTTAGCTAATATTATGTCGTCTAATGATTAGGTCTTGGTTAACACTTGTTTTTTCCATTTGATTTTATCATATTAATAACTCAGGTGAGGAATGACAGAACATTATAAACACTGTACCATCATGAGGGCGTGCACAAAAGAACGGTTTGACATTTTGGGAAATGCACTCATTTGCATTCTTGCCAAGAGTAAAGCCTAGTTCACATTACACGATTTTCATCTTAATTTTGTGTCACGGAGACTAATCTTTTGAGCGTTCATACCCGGCGACGTGTGCTTCTGTCAGTGGGAGTCTCGCCAACTGCGTTACGACCTGTGTGTGCACACCACAAGATTTCTCCACCGAGCCCTCGCCGACAGAGCCCCAGATAACGCGGTGACGTCACCAAACTTGGAGACGACACATAGTAAAGGCATGGATATTCTTTATTATCCTGGGTCCAAACACAACGCACTCCCCATGATCCTGTGGACACCGCCATTGTTGTTGTTGCTTGCCAGCCCGCTTGTCAGTGTTGCCAGATCTTGGAAGAGAAACAAGCAACCAGGGATATGGAAACAAGCCCAAAAGAAGCAACTCCACTTTAGAAACAAGCCCAAAGCTGCGGCTAACAAGCGGACCTGGCAACCCTGCGGCTTGTCCTCCTCACATTTCCTCCATCCTACTGCATGCTGTCATGGGACGTATCCCGCCTCTCATTGGCTGATGCTCTTTATCAGTCGTGTCAGACTTCTCCAGTTTTCTAGCATGCCAGATATCCAGTCTGTTACAAGACACCTAACGTTATGCCTGACTCGTTACCTGACACTCCTAACGCTGGTAACTGTAACATTTAACTAAGCTTCGTTATTTCCCTGCGGTGTGAAGTTGGACTTGAACGTATGCCTCACTTACCTAATGTGTGTAAATCTTTGAGCTGTCTAGGGAGTAAAGGGGTTACTCACCCTTCATAAGACCCGACCGCTACTGTAGGCGGCCACCCCGACCCAACGCTTCAGGCGTCCCCTCCAGTCGACGGCCAGGCTGGGCCAGCACAAGCAGCGTTGTTGTGATTTTAGTTCATGGGGGGGTTGAACGCAACCCCAGATCAGGTGAGGTGTGTAGTAGCGTTCCCAGATCAGTGGATTTTGTCTCCGTATTTCTGAATGTCTGTCAGAATCTTCTGCAGAAATGTGGCATGGCAGTCTGTCGGCGTCTCCAGCAGCCAGCCTCGACTCCAATCAACCGCCGCCTTTTCAGGTGTGTGAGCTCCTAGGAAGGGGAGTTACCCAATACCCCAAGTGGAACATCAGCCTCTCCCTGCTTCCTAACTCCACCCCTAACTGCACACCTAGGCCTCCTAATTATGTGCCATAACACAGTCCCAGTCGCAGAAGAGGGGGCGACTTGCTCGTAGGCTTGTTCACACAGAAGACTCGTTGGGGCAGACTATCTGCCGATTCACCTCCGACTCAAGGTGGCTCTCAAGATCCTCTGCGACGTCAAAATCACAGTGAAAATCGTGTAATGTGAACTTGGCTTTAGATGAGAATATGGATACCACTCTGGTGTGTACACTAAATATGAAGCTAGAGCCAGGTGTTGGTTAGCTTAGCCTACTAGCGCGGCTCTGTCAAACATGGAAGTGACTGATCCGACCAAGAAATACTGTCGTTTCAGCATGACGGACTTCTTAAATACAAGTTTAGTTGCCAGAGGGGCTCAATAGCGCCTCGCAGAGCTCAAGAGCTTGAACAGGCTGGAGAAAAGATGGGCACTATCTGTCGAGATGCTCCTCGATTTCTTCTTCATCCTTTTTTGTTGGAGTTGGGTCGAGGGTTTTTGTGGCCCACCGACTTTTTCGTTGTCACAACCCTAGAAAGTTTGGTCAGACATTTGGGCAGAGCCAGGCGAGCTACTTCCTATTGTCTATACACCAAGCTACCTGCTAGCTCTAGCTTTATATTCAGTGTACAGACATTTTTCTCTCATAGCGAAAAGTGGATAATCTCCCAAAAATGACGAACCATTCCTTGAAATGTACTTACTTCAATTAGAGCGCTGGACTACATGATGGTATGTTGTGAATGCAAATCTATGCCCTTGACCATGATATCCAGTGTTTATGTGTAAAATGTGAGGCTGAGGGACTTTAAAAATTTTGGGGAGCACTCAAGTTTCAGATCTGGTCTTTCCATATAAAGGGCCGAGGCAGCAAAACAACCAGTCACCTGGAGCATGAAATATGTCATGGTATGGTTTTATAATTGCTGAGTTGTAGGTTATTTTGGTCCCAGAACTTGCCAGCTGTCTTCTATGCATTCCCAAAAATGGAAGTCTGTCATTGGCCCAGCCTCCCTTAAAATGTTCAATGGATCCACTGCGTGTTGTACTCCTGCTCCAAAAGTCCAGCTAACCCTCCCACATTGTCCATTTGCTTTACTGAATATCTGTGTTCCTGGTAATGATGGATGAATCAGTGGTCAAGTGAAGTCCGACAGTTAAAGCAGTTAGGAGCCTTTTCTACTTGTACATTTATTGATAGTTAATTGTACTGAATGTGTACTCTCTATATTGATGCAAAGCAACCGTGACACCAGCCTGCTGTGTTCTGGCCTTATATCCTCTCCGGGGAGAATCTTTATTAAACTGATTTAATCACTATGTGCATTGTTTGTTTCTCAAAGTGTTCTTTCTATTCAACAAAAAACATGTGTATAATATGACACGCTCAAGGGATGGCAATGCAGTTTGGTTTCAACTAGCAATGGCCAAATGAAGCTTCATGAACCACTGTCTTTATTTTTTGGGTCCACTCTGGCACTCTTTGTTCAACAAAGGGTGGAAACCAAACTGCATTGCCATCCCTTGAGCCTTTCATCACACCAAGGGCGCCATCTAGTGGGTTCAGCAAGTACAACTGGTGGTTCATTTGGACATCACTACTAAACATCCTGGTTAAAAGCTTATTGAATGGCCACAGACACACAGAAATTGGCAAACCACACTGTCACTGCTTACAGAGCTATCAAATGAAGTGAACCAGCAATTAGATTCACCACGGTGATTTGGAATTTGCACCTCTGATGAGCAGTGGGGGTCATGGGGTCAGAGTCGACTGTACCCATACTGAAGCTAGAGCTGCCATCTGAAGATTTGGACCCAAAGTCTCCCTCAGGATCTGACAGCAACACAGGCCCTTGACATTCTCTCTATCATTCACCTACAACATGAGTTTTATTTCTCTCCATTATGAAGCGCATTTCTCCATGGTTACAAACAGTCATGACAGTTCCTTTTTCCGCCGCCGAAAGGGAAGTTTGTCCCAAAGCTTGTCAACTCTGTTTATCCCCTACACCTTGATGTAGGAAGCTTCATTCAGCTGTGAATGTGACTACAAATGGAGTTACAGTCCGCGACGGAGTGGGAGTGGGAGTGGGTTGGGTCCGGTTTTGGAAAGGCCCTAATAATACTGCAGGAAGGAGAGTGAAGAGACAACAGCCGTCATCAGTTAAAGACAAACCTTTAAGTGGGCAGCCCTGTCGTGCTGGAAATCCAAATTCAAAATTATAGCTGCTGCGCAGCAATGGTCAGGGCCGGGCAATTTTAGGCAAAATTAGGCAATTCTGAGCAACACACACACTAAAACAAAGCATATCACAACATAGAAGTTACATCATATAATTATGGCATGTCCTTCAGATTGTGGATGAGTGGCTGAAGCGATCAGACTCATAATATACAAAGGAAAGAAAAAACTCAAGAACAAGAAAGTAAGAATAACATTAACTGCTAGCAATTATGAACAAACTGGCCTGATCTAGCTTAAAGCTAAACATTATCCATGGTGACAAAGATGAAAACATTTTGTAAAATGTAAAAGTAGCTGTTGGATAGACTCTGCATGCTGACTGATAGCTAAGCCAAATAAACAGGGAAAAGAGACAAGGGACAACAGGGGAAAGTGTTGATAAAGAGTATTTGTCTCTCCGCAAAACTGCCTGGATCATAATTATTTTAACCTTGGTAGTCTCTAATCCACGTAGCATGATGCCTGAACATAGGACTTTCACATCAGAATGTCCGTTCTGCCTTAGCTGAGGCTTGAACTCACAACTTCTGAGACTGAAGTCCGTCTTCTTTCTCACTGAGCTAATTGGCAAGTGACAGGTCATGTGTGGCTTCACAAATTGACTAAGCCCAGCATCAGGGTGCCAGACAGTAGCCATCCAGGCCACGGAAAAGCACATTTCAAAGTGAAAGTTCCAAAGCTGTAGCACATATGGTTGATTTGTTATGAATTTTCAAAGTTTTGAAATTCAGAGGCTTGCTGTAGCGCCACCATCAGGACTATTGTCTTGTGTTTCCAGTTGAGGACATCTGGCATGGGACTGGACCTTTATGAAAAGTTTGGGCAGATTTCTCATATGGAAATGTTGCACAAGCTGAGGCTTGAACTCACAGCCTTCAACACCAAGAACCATCCTCTATCTCACTGAGCTAACTGGCAAACAGAAATGTCACATGTAGCTTCACAAATTGACTAAGCCAGTCACCTGTGTGCAAGACAGCAGCTGTTAGTGTGTAAAGGCAGATTTCAAACGGCTGTCAAAAATTCAGTTATTAAGACAAAAATCCGAAAATACACAAATTGCATCTAGACAGCATGGAGATGTTGGTAATTTGTTTTTAACAATGATTTATTGGCTCCATAAGTGAAAAACTGATGTTTAAAAATGCCATTTTTACATTGACTCCAATTGTTCGCATGAGAGCGAAATTCAAAATGCTGTAAAAAAATTCAGTTTTTGAGATAAAATTCTGATATTTTCCAAACATCATCTACCATGACTCCAAATTTTGTCATTTTTTAATGAACACTGAAAATGCATTTAGCAAGAATTCAGTCAAACATTTTGATGCACTGTAGGCTCAATTTTCGATAAATCAAAAATCTGTGTGGATCGTTTGTGGAGGACAGTCTTGTGTGTGTGGGAGGAGATAGGTTTAAGAAGTTTTACAGTTTTTGAAAAAAACAGAGTGATGGACTTCATAATTTTTAATAGGTTTAATAATAGGTGCAAATCTGTAGCACATATAGTTGATTTGTTGTGAATTTTCAAAATGTTGAACTTTAGAGCTTAGGCTGCCCGGCCCCTAATAACTGCATGTGCAGAACTCAGTAGATTTAACACATGCACACAGGTAGACAGTCGAGCATGTGCAGACACACACACTCATCGCCTGGGCGACAGTGATAGTGGCCTCGTTGGAAACTCTCTGAATGTAATGACCCACAGTTTGCACACCCAGACAGCAAACACACACAGCTGAGTTACTACGGAAACATCCAGAGGAATGTCCCTCTGTTCATATTGTTGC